CATACAGCATTATCCCTTAACTTGCCTGTTATAACAGTTTATAAGTGTGTTGCCGATTTGTTACTTTGTACAAACCAACCAAACCATTTTCCTGGATAGAAAACATTAACATCCACATTAAAATGCCTATAAACTCTGGACCTATGTTATATATTTTGTTGAGTTGTGTATGTACATTAACCCAAATATTCTGGATAATCCGGCTCCCGGTAGAAACCTCCTGAACAATGAATACTAGAGGGATGCTAACAGGGAGAAGCTGACTGCAATGACGGCAATGGAGGTGAAGACTCCCATGATCCCACTCTACTTCACAAAGTCACACAAACTTCATCTTTTGTTATTGCTTTGATGTGAGAGACCGCCCTAGTGGCAGAAATTACACATTATTACACATAATTGCTTATCAGTTTTTTTTTTACAATTTTGGTGCAAGAGTGATGTTGGTGTTGGTAGGAATTCACTAAGGATTATGAGTAACACTGGTATTTTAAACCTTAATATAATTATCCTAACACAACAACATGCACCAGGTTAGTGTGATTTTCAAAGACTATTCACTTCTTCATACGGGACAGTCAGCTTCAGCTTGCAATCGACACTTTAATGTAGTTTAATTGGGGAAAAATCCACAATCTTTATCCAGCACAACAAAAAGCAACAAAATGGTCGAGCCACTGAGGCAACATAAGGCTGCTGCAGTCTGTCATTCATTTTTCCTTCCTTGCTGAAATCCCAGTGCATCACAGAGACAAACCAAACAGTAAATTTTTTAAATATTGCTCAAAGCCATCAGGGTAGCTTTTGCTGAATCACTGTGCTTTTTAGTTGGACTTGGAAGAGGATTGTGGATTTTGCCCCCATTAGTTTTACTTCACAGAAAGCTAGAACTGTTTGTCCAGTATGAAGAAAAGGGCAGCAGATGATTGAAATTTAACCCATTATGTACATATATCTACAGGAGCAAGTTTAACATTTTAACTGTTCCTGTTAGACTTTGGACAAAAATCCCAGGTTATGTTTGATTAAATAAGAATAATATTACACAAGAATAAACAGTTACAAACAGCGGATGTTGGACTGGATGTACACAACAAGCTATTCTTACCTCTGAAGTGACACAAACAACGTAGAAGAACAAATGAAATATGAATGAGAATAGTTGACTTACATTAACAACAACAACAACAGGAAACTCTCCATAGCCTCAGCCATTAGAGGTACGTGTGTACTTCTTGTTCTTTCTTGTTTTCCAGTGTCTCCCTGTAGTACGGTGCGAGGGGCTCTAATATTAGCTCAGGGGAGACCTACTGTACGATGACATTTTAAAGCTTTCAGTGACGGTCCATGTTGTGGTTTGTAGTGCATTACCAGAGAGGTTTTTCCAACAAACTGAGCTGCCTTTGGCCCATTTAAGCTTCTATTTTTGAACACTTTGCCTCTTAAAAAGGGGCCAAGAATAGCACCTTATGTTTAAAGGTAAACTTGGTAGATCAGTGTGTTAAAGAAACATTCTGGTATTTTTTTAACCTTGGTCACGTTCATGTTATAGGATTTTGATTGTATTTCATTGTTTATTATCGTGGAATAAACTGAATAACAGTTTCAACATTGTGTATATTCAATGTTATTTCTGTATAATTGTGGACTTTCAGACTAATGCATACTTTTTATTTATTACCTCTGTTGTTGGAAACACATCTCTGGCAAAACATATATCGGGGCAAATATCCTAAAGCTGTTACAGATTTTACATAAACCATTTCAAATGCATGTCTCTAAGTCCAGAGTAAACACAGAAATGATACCCCCTAGGGTTGTAGCTAACTTCAAAGGGATCCATTAACGTATCACCATTAGCCGACTGGCAAAATGCCTTTTTTTATTTGCAATAAAAGCTGCGTGTTCACTCTGTCTCTCCCTTCTTACAGCTTTCATCCATCCTGCATCATTGTCTTTTGGTTTGCACCTTCAGCTCCTCAGCACATTACATCCATGCACTGCTTTTATTGCTGACATTACCGATGTACACACCTAATTGTTCATTTGTGACTTTATTTTATTTCTTGTTTTAAGTAAATCTATTGTATGGACTCCCTCCTTGTCACGTTCCCTGAGCCAGTTTATGATAGTTATTACTGCAGGTGAATAATAAAAAAAAGACATTGGAATTTGGAAAAATGTAGAAAGATTTGAAAATAATACAGTTTATTGATTTGCCACCTTTAGATATTTCTACTCAATGCTGTACTAATATGCTACAATACTGTAATGTTTTTTAATTAAAATATCCTAATTTGGGGGTTTTTCAAAGCAAATATTAATGTGATGTTTGTGATTAAATCAGTTTACTGTATATTTCTGCCACCCTCTTAATGTATACATGCTATTTCATGAACATTTCTCTATATCTGTCCCTGAACCAAATAGCTAGCTGGTGAGTAGATATATATCCCCATACTGTTAGCTACAGTAATCCAGGGGTCTACTTAATATGTTTAGTTGTATCCACACAGACTTTTCAGAGAAGCCCAAAAATTAAGATTTTATTTCTTTGAAAAGAGCCAACCAGCTTCCAAATGAATTATGAATTCATATAAGTCAGAGGATAGTTTGCTAGTTAGCTAAATAAACAGGTAGCTTGGTTAGTTGACCCAGATATGATCCCTATGCAGTTAGCCACAGTAGTTAATCCAGGGAGCTACTTTCTGTGTTTCCTTCTGACTCAGAGAAGTGTTTAAAATGATTTCCATAAAACTAAAATGTATTTAGAAAGCCATGCTGTGCTGCCCAAAGGTGCAAAAAATTGCTTTGACCCATGGTTAAAGGACACAATTATTCCAAAAAGACCCAGGTGTGAAAAGTACCCGACAAGATTTTTTTTTAGATGTGAAAATCAAGGAGTCAAAAATACCCAAGAAATACTTTTACTCAAAGTGGTTTTTGTGCGATCATTTACATAAAACACACGATTTATGCTTCCCAGAAGACATGCTGCTTACCAAGAAAAATATAAATTCAACCATTCAATCAGGGACCCTTCACTGTGATTTACTCAGGAAGGCCAATGTCAAGACTCGACTGTTGGCTTTCTAATGTCCTTCGCTGTCGGAGCTCACGACCAAGCCTCTTATTGCTCCCCAGGGGGCCTACTTCTGCTGAGATGGGGGAGGCATCAGTGAGCAAACCAGTGGATCAATGGTCACCAAGCCAACCTCTCTCTCCTCATCTAGTGCCTTCTGGGAGGTCAATGGCATAAAGGAGAGATTTACAGGGAGACCTGGGTGTGGCTGGTTGTGGAGGGAAGATGGAGGAAACAAAGAAACAACGGTATTTTATTAGAAGCCTGATATCATTTTCACTGAAATGCTGAGGGTGAAACGTTACGTGTGAAATGTTCCTCTTTCTATTCAAGCCATTATCCTTCGTTGCCCATCACACCTCGCTCTCTCCTGTTTCTGGTCTGCCTCTGACTTCCAATAAAACACAAAAAATGCCAAACAAATTAAAAATTCTGACTTGGTAAACTACTTGAACTCTGAGAACTGACTGTCAAAGCCTTCAGATGCTTATTATGATCAGCTTTCTGTTCTCTTTTTCATCTTACATTCTTGTTCTCCTAGAGCAATTAAAGGCAAGACACATTTATTTATAGCACATTTCATACCCAAGGCAACCCAAAGTGCTTTACAGAGTTCACGCAAAAGCACAAACAAAAATTATAAAAATAATACAGGCAAGTGGGCTAAAGCACATAGGATAAAAACAATAAAATAGGACAGACAATAAAATAAACTAACAACTGAATTGATTAATTAAAAGGAGTACATTCATTAAAAGCATTGGTAAACAGGTAGGTTTTTAGCTTGGATTGTTGTTGTTGTTTCAAGTCTTAGTTATTTTGGCAGTTTGTTCCACAGTTGAGCAGCACAGAAACTAAAGGCAGCTTCTCCTCGCTTAGTTTCGCACTGGGTCAGGAGATCTGATAAGCATCATGGAGGTCCAGTGTGTAACATTTAGGAGGATCTATTGGCAGAAATGTAATATAATGTTCATATATATGTTTTCATTAATGTAAAATCACCTGAAAATTGTTATGTTTTTGTTACCTTAGGATGAGCCTTTTACAGATGCTGCTGGTTCTCCTTCACGGTGTCCGCCATGTTTCTACAGTCGCCCAAAACTGAGATTCAGATTTTTTTGCAGGTTTCGCGGCCACTGTAGTTTTGCAAGTGGTATTCAGTTGGTTGCAATCTGTTAGATGCCACTATATCCCACACATTGGTCCTTTAAATTGTACGTACCACAGCAATATTACTTTCATAATATGTTTGAGTATTCGGCATAAAACTTGACAAGATAGATTAGCGGAGGGGTTAGAGAAATACATCTGGGATCTAGATTTTCCAAGTTTGTCATCAAGAAGTCTGACTTTTTCCTCCACAGTCAGCTTTGGTGAGCAATGATCACAGGAAAACATTACATGACCTGTGGAAATCTAGCCATATTTGATCATTCGGGTTCCACTGTTTGGACACAGATTACATTACATGTTCAATAACTTTTTCCTAAACAGTAACTGCTTCTTCCATCACTCCAGAGTTGAAGTAACTAGCTTTATGAGTACTAATCCCTGAGGTTTTACAGTGGGAGATAGAAGGGACTTATATTTCACCAACTGCTGTTAATGGCTCTTTATATTTGATAAAGAAGTTTAATGGGTTTGGATGATTCTGCCTCAGGCTGTAGCAGGAGGGCTGTTCCTCCATTCTTCACAGTTCCCAATGGACTTCCCATGTTTTATGTCCACTGATGGATCTCACCATCAAACTTTTATTGCACCAACATGTATTTTTTTCTCCTTTTCTAACTTTTTTTTTAAACACAATCTGTAAAATCAGCAATCAGTACCTCTTCTGGTTACCTGGTATCTTTCTCTTCGTGGGCTGTAACATTTTTTTGTATTCTTCTGCTCCATTTTTCTGCACCTGTTCTGTTTTCACTAAATCGGAGGGAAACAAAGGAGTCCTCAGGCCAGTAACAAAGCCTGCAGTAACAAGAGCTGACTCCATTAGTGGGGAGTCCCTGCTGGATGCTGGGTGGGGGTTGGGAGAAGGACTAAATGTATGGATTGAGGCTTGTGAAGCCCGCTGCAACTGTATTGTTGAAAATGTTGCAGGCTAAAATCACATAAAGAGAATAGAAGAGAACAGGGAACACAATATGCTATCCATCTGGGAATCCATTTATACTCTGTCCAACACCATAACTCTTAATTTTTTGCCGTTTCTGGGTTATTCAGAGTCAGTCCTTGGAGGAGATGGGGAAAGGTAGATCTAGTCAATAAAAGGGCTCTGCACGCTCCACCGAAGCCTTGTGTAACGACACACCTATATCATTCAAATAAATGATCCCTAAAGACACATTGATTTCTGCATGGCTCAACTAATTTCAAACTACCTGTCACATACTTTGTATGCTTTAGCCCACAATGTCTCAGAAACACTTACATTTGACCGATTGCGTGTTCAAAGACACTGGAAAGAATCAATATTCTACATTCGGCGCCCAATCCTCAAGTTTCTTTGGGTTAGGAGAACATTGTGTGAGTCCCCTGTGCAACAGGAGAGGTTTAGTAGCAAATCCCCATCCCACTTAGAATTTAAAAAAATCATTAGGCTATTAATTGCAGCGCAGATTCCCTGCAGAGCCTGAACAGTTTGCACAGGAGACGTGGAAAGTGATGCTGCACGTGGAGGCCTTTCCCTGCTCACATGTCTCTTCAAGCAGCCCACACATACAGCAAAATGACAACTGCACTTTTCTAGTGTCTCTCCATGAGTGTCGATTGCTTGTTTCGTGGAGATTCACAATAACTCTGACCCTGGCCTCTTATAGGAAGACTGTGTGCAACAAGCAGGCAGAGAGAAATAACAATCCAGCACACAATGGAGCACTTAAATGTATTTCAGCTGCAGTTTCAGCCGCTTTGGCCTTTGTATTTTCACTGACAACATGGCACTGAGAGGCAACGAGCCAATCCAAATCAGTGGCTAAGAAACAGATCATTATGGCATTCCTCTTGTGCTGACTCCCTGTTGAAAACTGCAATTTTTAAACTCAGCATGCAAAAAGATGAATAAACCTGTACTGTATGAAAAGGTTAAAGACTTGTGGTCCTGTGGTCTTCTGTCCATTGACTGAAAGGGAAAAATGAACCATCTTATCTACAAAGTTAAAATTGTCACTCCATTTGCCGTTTGCCAGGTTTTCTTAACTAATATACACAACAAGCTGTGAAATGTCAGATGGGTGGCATAATCCCAAAAAAACACGCCCATGTGACCGGCGTAACTTCTTCTTAAGGATATCAATCCTGAGACCAAACTTACACTTTAATAACCTCATAAAAAACAACTTGACGTTTTGTTTACTGTCATTAATTCTGGAGTATATTGAGTTTAGAAAATAATAATCATAAACACGAGGCATCACTCCCAGTTTCTCCCTGAAGGCCTAATTTGCAAATATTGCATCAGGAAAATGCATTTTTCAGGTCACTGTGAAGGGCACAGATGGTACTGAATCCATAAACATGAGTTCATTTGAAGTTGTAGAAGATGCTGCCGAGCACTGAGATGTCAGGAAGTCAGCAGAGTGACTTTGGGCTTTTGTCACTGAAGGTGCTCGTTCTGCTACAGAGAACCATAATAGCAGATGGTGATAATGTGAGAACTGTTGCATAAGAAAAGGTTACTGGAGGTGAATGCGCATGTGATCTTTAGGCAGCGTCTTCATAACTTTGATGCAGTAGTTTTTGAAGGTTAGGTGAAGCCATGAACTTTGTCAACTGCAAACGCAATCTATAAATAGCCAAATATATAGCCAGGTATTATGTCTATATTGGATGACTCTGCACATCGCGATTTATGTCCAATGCCAGCGTTTAGTGCAAACGCAGGAAGTAGTGTGCCCTGTAGTGAGGCAGGTGTGTTTAGGGCTGGGTGCCAAACTTCTATGCTTTCATGGCACAGACTGAATTGCTACAATACTACTGAGTATCAGTGCACCAATAATCATGCAGCAGACTGTTTAACATTACAGTCGTAGAGGCAATACATAGTATGTACTTAGTTGTTTAATTTGCCATAACAACAATCTTTAACTGTAGAATAGTTGTCATGCACAGATGTTGCAGAAAGTGAGAATAACATTTGAAATATAAATCTTTTCTGCCAAACTATTAATTAACATCCATTGTCACCAGGATTCTCATAAAAGTTCTCACTATGAAGCAATTTTAATTCTACTTCTTTATCTTTAACTCAAAACAAAAGAAACTTCTTGTTTAGAACATAAGTTTGTTTCACTGCGTAATTTTGGGTCCAGTATAATCACCCACTCTCCAAAATTACAGTAACTTCATCCTTTAAAGAGTTATAAAACCACAACTTTTCTCAAGCCAGTCTGCAGTAACAACAACACCAGCCGCTTCTATTCATATCTTGACAATATCTCCACTGCGTCCCATAGAGATTCTCATCTAGCCTGAGCTGTGTAGCGTAAAGCTCCTGCAGTCTGTGTACTTCTTTACACAGACGGTGTGATGCCTCTGGGGCTGCGGAGGGAGACTGTGGTGAGAAGAGTTAATAGAGTAGTAGTAGTAGAGTACAACACACAAAGGAGACTTTATCCCTTATCGATGGAGGGGAAGACTCCAATAAAGTACGTGAGCTCAGAGCAGGGCGATTGAACTGTGGGTTGAACACGGCTTTAACTAACAATGTATTAAAGGTGTTGTGATGGACTGTTGAGAAATTTAAAGTAAAAACCAATGGGAGAGGTTGTTTTAGTTTAAGGCAAGGACAGATTTGTTTACTGCTACAGAGCATTGACTGTATATAAATAGTCAGTGGTAAATAGTAAGCAACTGGGTGTGCTAAATCCCGCGCTCGAATAGTGGTTGTCCAAGCATAGTTTAGCAACCGTAACTAGATACAGCAGGTTTCTTGAAATTTGTGTTTCTCCGAAGCAGGATGCAAATCTGATTTTCAGCATTTAAAAAGTTTGGAGGTAGTTTTTTATCTTATTTAAAAAATAAAAAAAAAACACGAGTTAAAGTGTGAGGAATGGATTAAACAATGTGTTTACCTACTCTAACATAAACTACAATCATTACCATGCATGTCCGGCTATCAGAGTGTCAGCAATGTTAGCAGCTTAATTCTCCTCTTTATTAGAAACTGGGAGACCCCATCAGTTAGTTAGAAATCTGATTCACAGTGTTTGAATGTACGAACAATAAAGCATAAAACTGACCTCTGCCTTAGTTAAGACACTAAATAGGATATGTGAGGATGAAATAACAGCTTGATTACTTTTTCTCTTTGTATAGGACTGACTACCTTTATTTTAATACCCAAGCAAAACGCCAAATGGTGAGGATGTTAGCGTTTTGCCCTGGGTCATGTAGCTTTAGCTTTATTTGAGCACAATGTCATGTGTGCAGCCATCAAGTGCCTATTGAAGACCCTCTTAATGGGGTTCCCATTTTAAAAGAAATCAGCCAAAGACTTGGTTTTAACCAACTCATGGGGCTAACGCAAGCTTAATTTGCTAGCTAGCTACACTAATTAAATCTTCCAGCTGTTATTTCTGCTGGCAAAAATGAGAAGTCTGAGTTTGTGTATTTCTCTCTGAAATCAGGGACCCATTGTTTCAGAAGTTACAAATAATTTCGAGAGGCAAATCTGCAGCTGTCATCATTGCAAACTGCATTATGTGACAGGTTTAGCTACAGACATTTTTATCAAAACCAATCTTAAAAGTAGAGTCAGTTAACTCTGCAAAAAAAGTCACTTTTCCTTTAATTTGACATTATGTGTTTGCTGATACTGTTGCCTTATCACATGCCAGTTAATCAGCAGCTATTTATCCTCATGAAAGCGTCTTCTACTTTACTGCACATAAGGTCACCAAAAAAACCGGAAACTTAATCAGAGACTTTCTTTTCCTTCTAGGATGTGATCACAGAGAAGTAAAAAGAAATCGGTGGAGATTTTCTCTCAGAGCTGCCTGGTGTGTGTGTGTCCTGGCAGCTTGGAGAGAGCTGGCGCCGACACAAAAAGAAAGAAGATGAAATAGATTTAAAAGGATTGGCCAC